GCCGCCTGAAAGCAGCTCCCCCTCCGCTCCCTCCAGCGGCCGAGGACGGGTCCCGCGGGGGGATGCACCGCCACCAGGTCGGGGGTCCCAAACGCAAGACGCTAGAGGCCGGCGGCAGGCTGGACGGAGCCCCCCGCGCCTGAGCCGGAGCCGGCCTTATGGAAGTCTAAAGCGGCGCGATTGGCGGCGGCGGCAGTCCTAGGCACTCCCGCAGACCGAGATCGGCCTCCCCTGCGCAAAACCTCCTCCGCCAAACCAAACTCCCTCCCTCCCTCCCTCCCTCCTTCCCACCCTCCTTCCCTCCCTCCTTCCTTCCTTCCTTCCCTCCTTCCCTCCCTCCTTCCTTCCCACCTTACTTACTTACTTACTTACTTCCCACCTTCCTTCCTCTCAGCGTGTTTCTCCCCTCTCTCCCCATCTCAACTTAAATATAATTACCAATATCTTTTTTCACCCCTTTTGTTTTTATTTTTGGCAGCCTCATTTAACAATAATACAAAGCAAATTTGCATATCTGCAGGTGCGCATGGCGCTGAGGAACGCAGAGAAGGAGCTGGAGTCGCACAGCAGCTGGGCGGCCCCCGACGCCCTGCAGAAGTGGCTGCAGCTGACCCACGAGGTGGAGGTGCAGTACTACAACGTCAAGAAGCAGAACGCCGAGAAGCAGCTCCTCCTGGCCAAGGAGGGGGTGAGTGGCGGAGGGGAAGGGGGAGCGCTAGCCGGGGCACTCTGGCGCATGGGGTGGAGAGCACAAAGAGTTAGGCAGCTGGCCTTCATCTGCAGAGTTAAGAACACAAGAGCCAAAGAAGAGCCCTGCTGGGTCAGACCAGGGAGGGTCCACCTAGTCCAGCCTCCCGTCTCACACAGGGGCCAGCCAGTTCCTCTGGAGGGCCAGCAACAGGGCAGAGAGGCCGAGGCCTTCCCCCGAGAAGAACCTCAGAAGAGCCCTGCTGGGTCAGACCAGGGAGGGTCCACCTAGTCCAGCCTCCTGCCTCACACAGGGGCCAGCCAGTTCCTCTGGAGGGCCAGCAACAGGGCAGGGAGGCCGAGGCCTTCCCCTGAGAAGAACCTCAGAAGAGCCCTGCTGGGTCAGACCAGGGAGGGTCCACCTAGTCCAGCCTCCTGCCTCACACAGGGGCCAGCCAGTTCCTCTGGAGGGCCAGCAACAGGGCAGGGAGGCCGAGGCCTTCCCCTGAGAAGAAC